GTATGAATGTTGACTCTGTAGGGAAGCAGATATCTGATACACAGACCTAACAGGTTGCTGACTCTGAATACTTGAAACGTTTGAAAACTGAATCTGAGGTAATGGAACTTCCGGGATAGCATCACTTGCTTTCCTCCATTCTTCTTGAGATTTGTCAATTGATTCACTTTCATAAACAGAGCTATCTGAGATGTCTCAAATCTTTCCACTCTTGATTCCGCTCTCGATACGTTCTCCTGCTATCACTAAGTCAGCAAAGTTTAACGTTCCGCCACTAATCAATATATCATAGTAATGGCCCTTCAAAGTACCCAAGAAGATGTCAACCAATTCTCTATCCTGAAGCGGTGGTTGAACACGAGCAGCAAATTCTCTCCATCTCTGCACATTCATTCTCCGCTTGAGATAATTCTTGCAACTGCATGCGGTTGGGATTCATGTCGAGATTGTAGTTGTACTGCTTCACAAAGGCATTGGCTAAATCTGACCATGATCGGATGCAACCACTTTCCAACTGCATATACCAACTCAACAATGCCCCACTTAGACTTTCCTGGAAACAGTGAATCATAAGCTTGTTATTGTGGACATGCGAGGTCATTCTTCTGCAATACATCACCAAATGCTGCTTCGGACAACTATCCCCTTTGTACTTCTCAAAATTGGGCGCCTTAAACTTCGGAGGCATCACAAGACCTGGCACCAAACACATGCTCGAAGCATTCAAATTAAGAGTGTTTTGACTCATCAGGGCATCAAGCTTTTCATCCAACAGACGATACCTTCTCATAAACTCAGCAGTCTGTGGATTTTTAGGATTAATCTTTGGAACAACCCTTTGGGAATTTGGCACAGAGAAAGTGAAGTTCTGATAGTCCAAGTCATGGAGAGAAGATGAATCTCTATCTCTGACAATAGTATGCTCTTGATCTTCGACAGGAATCTGCACAGGCTGAGCTCGAGCAACATTGTTCACTGGAGTCCTCTGAACATTGGTCTCTCCTCTTGTCATGGCTGTCATGGCCTCTATGAGTTGATCCAACTGATTCTTCATCATCTCAAACTCTGCCCTTGTAATAACCAAATTCTGCTCCTCTGAGTCCATGATCCTTCCAGAAGCTAACTCAAATCCAATGTGAATGTCGGGAAATCAACTGCGGGTTGGACAAAAGACTGGTAAGCTCTCTGCTCCGGTTGAGGATGGATATGCAAAAATGAGATGCAAATGAAATGCAATGCAAAATGCTAATGCAACACACAAAGGATCAAAGTCACAAATTCTGCAAGAAAATACAACGGGATACCTCTCACCTCGGGTGGGTAATATATTGGTTTATAAGAGGGTATTCCAAAGGCTTTTAAACAAAGTCCCATGCACTAACCCTCAAAAGTTTTCCATCAGAATGACTACTCGTAAGACGGTAATCCCTTCAAAGGATGAACACAGAGTTATGTTTTAGGAACCTTCAGAATAAGGTTCTACAAAAGGTCCTCAGAGTCAAGGACTCCCAATTGGAAATAAAGACGCCGTTACGACTACACGTAAGACATCATTGTTCCAACGGGGTCTCATCTGAGCGGTGGAATTCAAACCAATCCAACGGGTCCTACGTCTCGCAAATCAGAAAGAAACCACCTCCTAATCTTAGTGTATACTCAAAAGCTCGGGTAGAAAGCTTTATCCTTACAAACCATCCCAATAAACCCAACAGGTAGAGAATAAAACACAAAATAAATTAAAGCAAAAAAACAAAACACAAACACGACAGACAAATTAGGTTTGGCTAAGTATCCCCAACAGAGTCGCCAGCTGTCGCTACTCGAAAAATGCATCGCGCAACGACGGGGAGGCGAAGAATAAAGGACAGAAGAGTCGCCACCGAACTTTATTTATCCCATGAGGGGAAAGGAAAATATCGAGAAAACCTTAAGAAAAGAATGGATAAGATGTTCTCGCAACCAAGAATGGATTCGGAAGCCGGTTATGTGAGGGGAAGGTATTAGCACCCCTCGCATCCATCGTACTCGATGGGAACCTTTTGTTTGTCGACGCGTGATTATATTTGCTAAAATATTATGCCATAAAAGAGTGTTCCAAAGGGTAGAAATATAGGTTTAGAAACGGGGAAAGAGAGGTAACAGGGAAGAAGAGAGAGGGAACAGACTCGGTAGGACTTCGCAGTCCTAGGCCTACGTATTCTCAACAAGTATGAGAAAGTCAGAGTCGACGTAGTTCGGGGAACTACGGGTGATAGGGGGGATTGTGCTCGCCAAGACATCGCCGTCTTGTGCCTACGTATTCTCATCTGGTATGAGAAATCAGAGCAGCCGTAGTTCGGCCAACTACGGGTGAAAGGTGAAAAAGGGAGCTCGCAAAGACATCGCCGTCTTGTGCCTACGTATTCTCATCTGACATGAGAAATCAGAGCAAACATAGTTCGTGCTAACAGTGTGTTGATGTCCTTACGGATGATGCTATCGTGCTCATTCTAGCAGTTTAGGTGTTTTGCTGCTCACTCGTTGGAGACTTAGGCATTACCTGTTTGCGGTAGAACGGACGTAACATATCCTGTTTGAAAAATTGGTTTTCGCCACGCGAGGCAAGATGTCACGTTTGATTGATTGGATTGTTTTTGGGGCGAGATAGGTCCTCGGATAGTAACCCCTACGGGTAGTACCCAATTTGTTATCTCAAAGTTTTTGTTATAAAAAAGGTGCGGCGAACGAGGCGTCTTCGTATTGAAAGACGAGCGTCGAAACCACCCTCACTACAGTGGGCATCCCTACGCTCGGAGAAGAAGAGGTCTACACCCAATCCTCTCTCTTTAATTCAATGCAAAGAGAACTTCGTTCTCTTATTAAAGATGTTTTTGGTTTTGAATGGTAAGTGCTTTGCGACAGAGAACCCTACGGTAAACGTCAGCACTCGGGATAGGAGAAGGCCTACGCCTAATCACTCCACGACCATTCAAGTATTTGTTACGAAAATGATTTGAAAATGCACTCGGTACAGGATCGGGGTTTTAGGCGTGAAAATTGTGGAAGGAAGTTGTGAAAGCGAGATGGTGGATAAAGTCGCGTCCTCGTATCGAAAGACGAGTATCGAGACCACCCTCACTACAGGGGGCATCCCAGCACTCGAAGAAGAAGAGGTCAACACCCAATCTTCTCTCTTTAATTCGATACAAAGAGAAATCAATTTATTATGGTTTGAAAAAGGACTCGGTACGAGACCGAGGTTTTAGGAGAGATGGTATGGAAACATCTTCGTATTGAAAGACGAGCGTCGAAACCACCCTTGCTACAGTGGGCATCCCAACACTCGGAGAGGAAGAAAGTCTACACTTAATCCCCTCTTTTTAATTCAATACAAAGATAATTGGATATTGAAGATGGTTTGTCAATGCTTTTGAATCGAGTTGGGACAAGTAATGAAGAGAGAAAAGAGGTGGTCTCAGATCCAACATTACTCATCAATAATTTGACTGGTAATGAATTACAGAGGTCTCGTCATCGACCAAAACAATAAAAAATGGGACAAAATGTCCAATGACAAATGAGAAATAAACCTAATTTTAAAATATAAAATGTAAACTTTTAAAAGAAATAAAATATAAAAAAACTTCTAAATATAATATACATATATAAAAAATCTAATATAAACTAAAGAAATTATTTAGAAAAAAAAGTTAAAACAAACTAATCCAAATATATATATATATATATATATATATATATATATATATATATATATATATATATATATATATATATATATATATATATATATATATATATATATATATATATATATATATATATATATATATATATATATATATATATATATATATATATATATATATATATATATATATTAGTATGTTATTTAATTATAAAATGAAGAAAAAGGAGGGGGGTCAAAATTAAAACGGGAAGTAAGAGGGTGATCAGACCAACACGGGCTATAAGGCCCGGCACAATGATAAACAATAAAATAAATAAATGAAAAAAAAAAGAAAACCAAATTAAATAAAACAAAATAAATAATAAGAAAAACAAAAAGACGAAGACTCAGATGGTCTTCTCCCTCACTCACCCTCATCGCTCACTCTCGCTCTCTCTGCGAAGCTCGTTTCTGATGGAGATGAGTCTTCTTGCTTCAAAATGGAGAAGGGAGTATGTTGTTGATGTTGGCTCAAGAGTAATGAAGGGTGTTGTTAATGATGGTTTCATATAAACAAGTGATAGCTGCGTGTGAGTTTGAAGCAGAGTTTAGGGAGAAAAAGATTTGATAGGTGAAGAGGCTGATGATGTTTATGTGCGTGGTGGCAGAAGGGTGTTCCGACAATGCACAATGGAGGAAAATCGTGATGTGTTTGTGTTGTTGTTTTTTAGGTCTGGTATCTGTTTGAATGGTTTTAAGGTAAGTATTAAAAGAATAGGGAAGGCTGATGTTATGGTTGTGTGTTTTGTGCAGGTACAGCTTGCAGCAGGTTTTGTCTGGCATGATGAGTAGCAGCTTATGGCAGGTTGTTTGTCTGGTGTGGGAGGAGTAGTAGCAGGTATTGTCTGGTATGGGATTTGTGTTAGCTGCAAGTTTGTTGTCATGATGCTGCAGGTTATTATGTGGTGTGGTATTGGTGCAGGTACGGTTCGCAGCAGGCTGGTGTGTGGGCTATTGATAGCAGGTTTTGTCTTGTTGTAGTGTTTTGGTTTGTGCTTTTTTTTCTTTTTTCCTTTATTCCTTCTCACTGCCCTAATTTTGTCGGTTGCAGATGTAGCAGATTTTAATGTAACAAAATTGAAGGCAAGTTGCGTAGCGGTTACGGAAAGGACGTCGTATCGTGGGTCTAGAAAGTCAAGGCTGTGAATAGGGTTTGGATTTTCAATAGGTTTTAATGTGTTGTTGGTGGTTTTACAGGTCATGGCTTGTTGTCTAGCTAGCACACTTTATGGCCTTTGTGAATTATGCGGAAGTGTCACATGACGAGCCAAATTTATGCGACAGAACCAAAATACTGTTGCAAGAATTGATAAAGCTCTTCCGCAACTACATCAGGGTACTCCTCCTGTGGAAGAAGAGCACCAGGCACTTCCACAAACTTGGTCACCCCTTTAGCTCCCTTAAGAGCTTCCATCTCAGCTTTAGACCTTTTAGGAGACCCTTTCGATGATACAACAAACACTGGTACCTTTCCTTCCAAATCTGCAAAGAGCTGAAGGAACTCCTCACGAGATGTTGCAGGATCTAGTAGTCCTGTCAAGAAAGTTGCAGGATCTAGTAGTCCTGTCAAGAAAGTTGCGGGTAAGTAACGTGCTCCTTTCTGTTTTGTCAGTGCGTATCTGCTTTCAACAATTGCTGGCGTGACATTATCAGGGTTGGCGTATACGTGGGATTTGTACTGTGATTTATTTGCAGGAAGCGTCTTTGCTGCGGAATTGGTATAATACGGTTGTGGAACCGTACAACTTTGGGGCCTTGATGTGGGCGACGTGCTTGTACGAATAAGGTCCGCGATTTGCATTTTGGCCGCAAACATAACGCTGCGGATGCGTACGACTCTACTGCTGCTGTGGGTGTGCTGCGTTTTTCTTTCGCAACTTTCTCCTCACATTTTGATTTTATCTGCAGTATCTCATGTCGAGGCTTGATTTCGTGCAGGTCGTGGTGTTGGATTGGTTTATGCAGGCTTCGTTGTTTTTCCAGTTTTGGTAAATGGGTACGCGAAGGCTTGTGGGACAGCCTTTGAGTGGAGTTTCTTTGCTAGTATTTTCATGATGTTGTACCCCTTTTTTTTTTTAAATTTGGCAATGTAATTGGGCCCAAAGGAAACAAGACACAGACTTATATATTTTTGTAGAGATTCTCTCTTCTTCTTTTTTTTGAAATTATGAATTGGGCCCTCAAGAACATTTGTTTGTAACCTTTTTTGTTGGATTGCTATAAGAAGAAAGATAAAAAGTACAATGGGCCTCTTTGGAGTTTATGCTTCATGATTTTTTCTTGTAGTGTGCTTGAGATGAGCTTTTGGTAATTTTGACTTTGAATTCTCTTTTATCTTTGTAGATAATTAATGATAAGAAGGCATGATAATGACAATGTATTTCTAAAAACATGTGAGTATGCAGTGGGATTTGAACATAGATGATTTTGGATGTGGATAAAAAAAATGAATGGATTTAAATGGATAACTAAAAAATGGGTAATTGGCAAGGTGGATGGAAATTGGATTGGTTTGAAATGGGTTTCGTAATGTGCCACCACACTTAAAACCTCGAGATTGCACCTGGCCGCCGTAAATCATGAATCACATCACAATCCTTGAATCAGCTTCTGATGAATGGAATCAAAGTAACGAAACTATCTGAACCTGGCCACTTAAGTACTGACAAATCCTCATTATAAAACAATTGAGCAAGAAAGTGCTTCTAAGATCAGAAGATTATGAATTGTGCTATAAACCTCAATATACCGCACCAAACCCTGATTGAAAAGCACAAATCCTTACTGCAACCCTAAATACATATTATCTGAATTGCACACCCTAGTCTCGTTCCTGAAAAAGAACTCTTGACTGACCACGATTAAGTTAGGACCTCTTGAACTAGAAATAACATCATACACAAAAATCTGCCCTGGAACACTTCTGACAGACCCCAACTGATACTTGATTCAACCCTACTTGCAGAAAACTCTGCACCTTGACCATAAGTAGAGTCACATATTTTTTTGGATTTTCTTATTAACAATTGGTAGATGAATATACAGATGAAAGTAATATACAGGTGGGCAAATTTTAGGGTGCAACAGGGGGTTGTATTACAAAATAAAGCAATTTTAATAAAGCGCTGCTAAAAAGGGGGGGGGGGGCTACGAAAGCGCTGCTATATGGAGGTATACGAAAGCGCTTTCTAAAAGCGTTGCTATAGGGGGGATACGAAAGCGCTGCTATAGGTCCTGCCTAAGACAGACCTTAGAGAGCGCTTTTATAAAGCGCTGCTAAAGGTTGGGTATACGAAAGCGCTTATTAGATGAAAACGCTGCTATAGGTGGGGGTTACAAAAGCGCTTTCAAAAGCGTTGCTATAGGTGTTAATTTTCTAAAATTAATAAAAAGATATTTCAGAAACAACATACTTTCAGAAAAAATATTTCAGAAACAACATTCCTTCTTTCCCTCTCGCGAGAAAACCTTCGTCCGTCCGACCAGTCGGCCATCTTCTTCCTTTTCGCCGACCGTAGTACTCCCTCCGTCCGCCGCACTACCTCTGTCCGACCATTCCACCATTTTCAAGGTATTTTAGTCATTTTCTTCATTTTCATGGTTATGGATTGATGAGTTTTTTTGTTGTGGAAATATTGTATATATGTATGGATTATTAGTTGATAACAAAAGTTGTATGGTTAAGTGATATGTGTGTATCTATCTAGTTGTTTCTCAAAATAAAATCCATTATTAATAACCCTTTTTCACTTTTTTTCACTCCTTTGCTTCTAGATGCATTTTTAGACACATCACCAAGTTCAATTGAACCTCCTTTCATTTTTCTTCTTCTAACTTAATTAAAAACAAACCCTTGCTTAGAAACTTTAGAATATTATTATCATGTATATAAATGCTTGTGTTTGTTAAGTATCTAAAACATGCACTTATATATAGTTGTAGATTTTTTACTGTCAAATTTGGTATTTCCTAGAATTATGTAAGGAAGAACAAAAATAATGATTGATGATAAAGGAGAATGTTAATGGGAATAGAAAACTCACGGGAAAGAGAATGATGAATGGGAATAGGAAACTCATGGGAAAGAGGGAGGAGGAGCCATTGAACATGAAAAAAAAAACACATCTTGGATTTTTCTTTATTATGTTTTCCTTTTTCTAGAAATCATTTATAAATATTATCAAAAGGATTTTTTTTTTAAATCTTCAAAATAACAATATTTCAACCTGATAAAACTTATACTAAAATATTAACCTTTACTCTCAATTCCACAAGTGAAGAAATATATATCAAATTCATATATACATATGTATACTATTAGATTTATCTATTTATTTTTATATTGAATATAACTTGTTAAAACAACAACTATTAGATTTATCTATCTCTTTCATAAATATTGTTGATGTTTGAATATTCACAAATTACTTGTTGAATATTGTGACTTTGTTGATTAATTTCTTGAACTTAAGTGATAAAGTTGTTATATTAGGTACAACTACTAACTTAGTAAATTTGTAATAGGGGTTACCTGTGAAGAGCAAGATTGTGATCGTTTCCAAAAATCTTACTGTGTAGTTCTAGAAGTTGGTGATTTCTCTACAAGTGCTACAGGTATTCGTTGTTTTTGTTTAGCTTACTTAGTTTAGTTTAGCCTACTTAATTAGTATGGATAAAAAATGGATGTCTTCCAATCGATTGTCAAAAGAGTACGAGAATGGAGTATCAAAATTCTTTAAGTTTGCTGTTGAACACGCCAAACACCCCAGTAGGATCACATGTCCTTGCTTAGGTTGCTGTTATGGGCGTCGGATTGACGCAATTCAGTTGGAATCGCATTTAAAGAGGCATGGAATTGATTAAAGTTATACATGTTGGACATTACATGGTGAGATAAGTAATGATAATGTTGAACCGGAGGATAATACGACCTATGCTTCAAACAACAATGGCACAGATACATACGACTATGATCGAGTCGAAGAGATTGCAGAAGCACTTGAAGAAGATCTTCAGGATTGTCCCAAAATATTTGAGAGGTTGGTAAACGATGCAGAGAAACCGTTGTATAAAGGTTGCACTACTTTCACAAGATTGTCTGCGGTATTAAAGTTGTACAACTTAAAGGCGGGCAATGGATGGTCGGATAAAAATTTCACAGATTTATTAGCCCTCATGAAAGAGATGCTTCTGGAGGATAATGTTCTTCCCAATCGAACCTATGAAGCCAAAAAAATGTTGTGCTCTATTGGCATGAGCTATGATAAGATACATGCTTGTCCAAAGGATTGCATTTTGTTTTGAAATGAATATGCATCATTAAACGAGTGTCCTAAATGCGGTATATCTCGGTATAAGAAAAAGTTGTCCCCAGTAAAAGTGTTATGGTATTTTCCTATAATTATGAGATTTAGATGCATGTTTCGTAGTGAAATAGATGCAAAACACTTGACTTGGCATGCAGATGATATAATTATATATAAATTAAAAGTATCGACATCCGGCAGACTCACCACAGTGGATGAAAATTGATAATGAGTATCCTGATTTTAGAGAAGAAGCGAGAAACCTTCGCTTGGCATTATCTACTGATGAAATGAACCTGCATGGTCTGCAAAGTATCTCACATTCCATATGGCATGTGATTATTATGATTTATAACCTACCTCCATGGCTATGTATGAAGCGTAAGTACATGATTCTATCTATGTTAATTTCTGATCCTAAACAACCAGGGAATGACATAGATGTATACTTGACACCTTTAATCGAAAACTTAAAGAGTTTGTGGGAGAATGGTGTGGAGGTTTATGATGGATATAGGAAAAAAAGTTTCAATTTGAGGGCGATGTTGTTTGGCACAATTAATGATTTTCCAGCATACGGAAATCTATCGGGGTATAGCATTAAAGGTCAATGTGTGTGTCTTATCTGTGAAGAAAACACAGATTGGACGTGATTGGAATTTGGTTAGAAGAATGTATTTCTTGGTCATTGTAGATTCTTAAATTCTAATCATCACTACCGTGGGTGGAGAAAAGCATTCAATGGAAATTCAGAACAAGGTAGAGTTCCACCTACATTGACAGGCGAACAAATTTTTGAAAAGGTGAAAGATGTGAGTACTAAGTTTGGTAAGCCTTTTGCTCATACGCTTGTCAAGCGTGGGTGGAAGAAGAGGTCAATTTTTTTTAATTGTCGTATTGGAAGTCGTTGTATGTAAGACATATTCTTGATGTTATGCATATTGAAAAAAAAATGTATTTGGAAGTGTTATTCGTACGTTACTCAATATACAAGGAAAGTCTAAGGACGACCTTAAAGCAAGAAAGGACTTGGTAGCGATGGGAATAAGAAATGAATTAGGACCCTTGAAGAAAGGAAATCGTACATATCTACCACCTGCTGCTTATACTTTATCTAGAAAGGAGAAAAAGATATTGTGTAAGTTTCTAAGTGAAGTTAAAGTTCAAGAAGGATACTCTTCAGATATTAGAAGACTTGTGTCTATGAAAGATCTCAAGTTAAAGAGTTTAAAGACACATGATTACCATGTTATAATGGAACACTTTCTACCAATAGGTATACGTTCTATTTTTCCAGAAAAAGTAAGAAGCGCAATAACTAAATTATGTTTTTTCTTCAGGTCAATTTTTAGTAAGGTGATTGATCCTGCGATCTTATCAACATTGCAAAAAGAAATAGTAATCACTTTGTGTGAGCTTGAAATGTATTTTCCTCCATCATTTTTTGACATAATGGTACATCTAGTTGTTCATCTTGTGAAAGAGACACAATTGTGTGGACCAGCTTATA